TCTGAAGAGTTTAACCTGGTCTGGATGAAATCCCCCTCTAAGACATATCCTCCTGTGCTGCAGTACAAAGTCTAAACAGAGGCAAAGACATATTTGGTTAGTTGACGGCCTAACGCTTGACAGCAGTCTAAGTCCTTTGTAAACATATCATGTTTGCTCACAGGAAACGACTTGTTTATAATGTTAATACTTATCTAGAGTTCTAATACTCAAAAAAAAAGTATGAGTCATTTTTATCTACAAGCTTCCTTGTTACACAGTGTGTGACAACACCTCATAAGACTGCGCCGCCCTGCCAGTGGAATGCACTTCTAATCAGGCCACAGGCCATTAAATAAGGTTAGAGCAGCACAGGAGGATATGTCTTAGAGGGGGATTTCATCCAGACCAGGTTAAACTCTTCAGAGCAGACACAGCCAGCTGAAGGTAGTACCTTGAAAGTCAGCTTGGCATAACAATGAAATACTAACCTTTTAAGTCTTACAGGAAGCAATTACCAACACATACAACCTGAACACACACACACGATATGACCAAATAAAGTCAGCAGACTACCTGGCCAGGTTTAACCAAATAAGGCAATCCCTTAGACCGGATTGCTTCACACCCATAACCCTCTAACATTATTCTGGCTGCCCTACTTAAATATTAGATCACATGCCGGGGCAACACACTTGTGCACTCATGCACAATAGGCTACTGTATGCACACTGTAGTGTTAGGTACTTTCTTAGTTAGATAGATATTGATTAGAGATCTGTTGTATTAGAAGATGTTAGTGTAGCCAGGATGTCTTCCTCAGGCTGTTAAATGCAAGGTTAGTTAAAGCAGAGAAAGGCTGCAGTCAGGGATAAATGTTATTATGACGGTAAAAGTAACCATAATATTTTTCTTAATGTGAATTGTTGTGTTACAGTGTTTTTAGATACACACCACATAATCAACATTCACACACATTATTTTCTTCATGTTTTGTCTACTGCTCTGCTCAGCTGCCAAGCTGGCATATCAGGTGACGTCACGGTTTGATGGCCTGTTTAGGATGGGGCTAGCCCAACGAAGTGATTAAATTGTATAGGCAATTAGGTTCGGGGCTTCTTCTTCCGGGCTGCCTGCGAGCAGCTTTGGGGGTGCAAGATGCCTGGACGTGTAATGTTAATTCTTGCCTGTGACCCTTTGAATAAACCAGCACGGTTATATTTTTTTATATACTCAAGTGGTCCGCTTCTTCTCTCTGAGTTCCTGGTTGAAAGAACCGGACGTGGCTTTATAATAGAATAAAGCCTTTAGTAGCCTACTTTTCTTGGCATTTCACTTCACCTGCTATCCATTATTAAATAAAATGTGCTAAAACATGTTTGATGATAATTTAAAAAAATGTTATGCAAATAAATAAGTTTATTAGCCATTATTTGACCTATAAGGAAAACCATACAAAACTCCCTTTTAAAAAATGGTTTACCTTGGTTAATGACAGAAAGCGACAAGACATTTTAGATAAAAATACAAATCATCCTATGGATTTTTGTGAACCAGGGTTCACAGAATCAAATAAGCTTTTCTTGTTAACTTAATGTAAATATGTTAGTTTTGTTAATTTCAAGTTAATTCTACTTTGAAAGTCTAGTTCTAATTCTGTCTCTTCATTGTGGGGTTGAGCTAACTCAGTGCTGTAACTGACATGGCTGTAGTTTGAGTGAAAGCTGTTGACCTGATGGGGCTATTCTATGCTCAACTATTACATTCATAGTTTGGTGACTGATGATTTCAGAGGCTGCTAGGCAGACTGGGAAATGCAGGCTGCAGCCTTCTGTGCACCACAGCTCAAGATCTTATTGAAAATAAAAACAACATAACTGCTTTTTTTTCCTTTTATGAGACAAAGAGGAAAAAGAAATACATGATCTTCTAAGACAAGACATCCATTGATTCCAAATCCCCTGAAATACTGTTTTGCCTAATATATATTTTTTCACACAGGGGTCATTCATTTAGCAAATGACTTAGCTGAGAGTCACCCATGAATAGCAATATCATTTGCTTGTGTCTTCAGTTTAACAGGTCAGAGTTATACAAAGTATTCACCCCCTTGGATGTTTTACCCTTTTATTGATTTTATAAATCAATCATGGGCAATATAATTTGGTTTTTTGACAAAAAACCCCTCTTTAATGTCAAAGTGAAAACAGGTTTCTACAAAATAATTCCAATTAAATAAAAATATGTAATGGGAAATAAATCATTGCATAAATATTCACCCCCTTTAAAATGACTGGCCTAATTCAACACAGGTCCCACCCATTGGTGCTAGTAGTCCCACAGTTAGTGATTAGGGATCACCAGAGTGCAGTGAATGTGTCTCAGGTGATTGTAGTATAAAGCTACCTGTGTCTAGAAGGTCCAGTCACTGGTTAATCAGTATTCCTGGCTACCATTACACCATGAAGACAAAAGAACACTCCAAGCAGCTCAGAGAAAAGGTTGTTGAAAAGTATAAGTCAGGGGATGGATACCATAAATTTCCAAGGCACTGAACATCCCCCAGAGTTCAGTTAAATCCATCATCAAGAAATGGAAGGAATATGGCACATGTCTAAATCTGCCTAGATTAGGCCGTCCTCACAAACTGAGTGACTGTGCAAGAAGGAGACTAGTGAGAGAGGCCACCAAGACACCTATGACCACTCTGAAGGAGTTACAGGCTTCAGCAGATGAGATGGGAGAGACTCTGCACACAACTGTTGCCCTGTAGAGGGTAACGTGAATGCAGTAAAGTATAGGAAAATCCTGGAGGGCAAACTTATTCAGTCTGCAAGAGAACTTCGGCTTGGGAGAAGATTTATTTTCCAGCAAGACAATGATGTGCAAGCCTGATTGAGACCTATCCACACAGACTCAGTGCTGTGATTGCAGCCAAAGGTCCATCTACTAAATACTGACTTGAAGGGGGTGAATATTTATACAATGGCTTATTTCCCATTACATATTTTTATTTAACTGACATTACTTTGTAGAAACCTGTTTTCACTTTGACATTAAAGAGTTTTTTTGTAATTTTTTTTGTCAAAAAGCCAAATTATATTGCCCATGATTGATTTATAAAATCAATAAAAGGGTAAAACATCCAAGGGGGTAAATACTTTTTATAGGCACTGTAGAGGGAGGGCAGCTAAGGCATAGGGTGCAGAGCAAGTCATTCAACATCAGTTTGATCTTCCTCCTGGCAATGCTGTATGTTTGGAGAGTGCTTGAGCGAGATGCTTAACACCAAATTGCTCCCTCTGGTCAGACTAGTGCCTTGCCTGGTTCAGTAATTCAGTGTCATCAATGTGTAATAGATAAATGAGAGGCAAACTGTAAAGTTCTTTGGATAAAAACATTCCATAAATGCAGTTTGTTCAGGGTCTGTGTGGTGTTTTTTAAGAAGATTTTGTTCAAACTCATAATGTTACAGTAACATGTAGAAGCTGTCAAGTACAAGAACAGTCTGAGCTGTGGACACTTCTCTGTGGACATAACATTTCTGGAGACATTTTGGGCTGAAAAGCTTGTCTTTTGAATGCTTTGTGTCCTATCTTTTCTTTCAACAAAAACATATGTTATAACTATGTTTTACTTAATGCTTCAAAGTATGTCTTATTGTATCTCACTACATTTATTTTATAGTTATCACTGAAAGGAAAATCTTTAATATCATGAAATCTACTTCTTTAATTAAACACATTGCTAGAATTAACTTCAAAACAGTTAACGTTAGAACATCCAGGCATGATACCTCATAACCATGTTTCAAAATCATTTTCATGATTACTGTGTAATGATAATATTGCTGCCTATCAGCCCTCAGTCCTGCTGTAGGGCCGGCTATCTTAAAGGTCTATTATTATGCTAATTTTCAGGTTTATATTATTATTTACAGTTTCTACTTGAAAATGTTTAAGATCATTAGTTTCCTCATAGTGCCTGCCACTCCAGACCCTCTTTTCACCCCTGTTTCAGATGTTCTGTTTTAGCTCCTGCCCCCCCTCCCTAAAAGCCCAGTCTGTTCTGATTGGTCAGCTTCTACAGCCCTGAACAGGAGTCACCTACCAACTCTGAGCCATGTTTCTGGACAGCTTGGGTTTTCAGCGTTAGCTCTGCTAACATCACTGGCCACGGTTATCTGCAAATCTGAAGTAAATTTCACCATAATAACAGCTTCTAGACCAAAATCTAAACAACCACAGGTGTTCAAGCCAGAGCCTGCTCCAAAATCAATGGTTCCTATCAACCTGCCAATGGTTTTTTTGAGCTAAAATGTTTGATATCAATGCTTAAATTCTTTCTATATTCACCAACAATATCCAGAGCAAAAATCTACTATTGTCATGCCACTCTTGTTGTTACACCTGGGCAATGCTGTCTAACAGAGAAACCAGTGACATGATGTATACATGAAGCTCATTGCTATTATAATGATGTTACCACCATCCTGCCATCTATTATCAGGACATTTTTTCTCTTTCTTTTTTTGCTACCAAAGATTAGCTTGAGGTAGCTATTTTGGCAAAATACGTGATGCAGATGCTACAGTTATCACTGAGAGTTTCAGGCTCAGGCCCAGCCTTTAAAGCCAGACACCGTGACTGAGGATTCTAGTGGGACTAATGGGCTTCAGCTGTCATGTAAATAACTGTGTTTGTGCTGATAATAAAGAGCAGTACTGTGGGGTCATGCAGTGTATAGGGCACACTGTTGTGCCCAAAAGGCAAATTCTGTCTCCAGCTCCCTTCTTCATTCAGCCTACATTACAATATTATTGGCACTCCTCAAATCCTTATTGCACTGGCCTTGATGTTTCTTTGTGTGCGTAATTCTACATGATATATTAATTATATATTATATACATATATTAATCCATTTCATGTGTATTAGGAGATGGGAAATTTATTTATGGATAGTTTCACTGTATGATGCCAAATAACTAGTGTTTAGACAAGCTGAGATCTTTCAACTGTACATTTATTTCCAAAAGGCTGCATATACATTTGCAAATTCTACTGTACAGAAAACATCCAAAATGTCCATAATTATAGGTACAATATACCACAAAGCTGCCCTGGCATTACCAAACATAGATGTTCAGCACTAGAAAAGCTCTGTAGCCTATTCAATAATATTATCTTAAATACTTTTTTTGAATTAATACCTTTAAATGTATGTCAGCATGATTAATTGTTCTTTTTTTCATCCCCATCTGTAATTTACAACATTCACCATTTACAGTAGTTAAACAAGGCACAAGAATAGTGATATGAAGCCAAAGGCCATGCGTGAAGCAAAAAAGAGTGTGAGACCGACCAGCTCAGGTGATGCAACAGAAAATTTATCTCTTCAAACAAGGTCAGTCTTACACTAAAGCATTATACATAGTGAGAATTTTATCTGTGTATGTGTGTCTGAGCTCACTGAAAAAAAAAAACAACAACTAAAAACTGAATTTTAACATGTTTATGAGATACAGTACACATAGCTGAAATACATCCAGATAGAAGGTGAATGTTGAGTTTGATGGGGTGTACCGCGCAGACAGGATGCTCTCAATGCAACATAGGCCACCGCTAATCGTTACAAAAGCACACATTTCCATTTTTGATGCTCTTTGCTTGCATGAATGAAAAGGAAAATCAAGTTAGTCACAGTTAAGGAAAGAGTTATATTGGGAAAAAATAAAAGATTACCTGTCACATACCTTACTTACCATCTTAAATTACATAAAAGATAAATATAATTTGATTAGAAATGCATAGAGACAATGTAGAGAAATGAAACTGGTCCTTTATCATGGCAGGATGAAACCATTCACATACAGTATCGGGTCAGAAATACTCAGTGGTTAATTGAAAGTCACCCTATGATTCCTGAAAAACCAGGACATATTCAAAATACATTTAGCTCTCTCATCATAAAAATAGCCAAATGAATTAGAATAAAAATGTTGAATCGGATTTGTAGACAAGAGAGGACAACTATGGCATGCATTTTTTAGCTGACAGCAACGATTAGGCTATAGGTATGAATATGGATTATATAAGTCAGCTATGGTTGGAGGTTCATTACTAATTCCATGTAAGAAGAAGAAATGGTCTCTGACTTTACTACAGTCCCCAGTACTGTGCCAAAAACATTCTAAATTTCCTTCAAAACATGTTTTAACTGGCTGCTTTTGACCATCTGAGGGCATTTAGTTGTTCACCCATCTACAAGTCACACTGAATCTACAGTAAGTATATTGTAATCTGGTGCTCAGAGTCATTAAAAAGCCTACCTTAATCACCTCCATGAGCTGCTGCAACTGTTGACAAGAAATCCAAACTACAATAACTAACTGGTATTGTTAAAACAGCTGCATACATTTTCACCACATGCAGTATCTTTGTCTCACGTCTCTCCCTCCGTGCTTCCTTACAGTTTGAAACCCTCCAGCAGTGACCAGTGTGGTTTGTGGAAACAATGGATTTTACTCCAGGCAAACATGTTGCTATCCACGGCAGAAAGCAGGCACCTGTTAAGTCACCTCTAACATTTGTAAATTGTTTGATATGTAACCAAATCATGAAGTAACATCTGAGTGCCAAGCTGGGGCTAAATGGGGCTGACTTCTATGTAGCAAACACAGACAAAATACAGATGTGGGATTCAGTGTTTGGGTTTTAAAAAACAAAATATCCAGCTTTTCCCTTTCTAGAAGTGAACAAGTATACCCTGCCTTTCATAGAATATGAAAACTACTAACAGCGTGTTCTATGGATTATGAGGAATAATTGTAATATTTCAAAACCATGAGCATCACAAATCTATTCCATTCACCTACAATAGATACCAACATTTCAGAGGCAAATATATCAAAACCGGGGAGAAAAACAACACTATGGCTAAATGTGACTATATAGGAAGTGAGAAAATATGTTTTTGGATAATTTAGCTGACCGTATTTTCCCCAGCATACATCTCTCTGGCAGAGGGAAGGCAGAGACCCATTGTGATGTGAGGTATGTACAAACTCTCTGAAGATTGGAGGCTGGATGCTTTTTTTTCTGAATAAACGTCATGTCAAAAGAATTAATGAAATGTATATAATGTGTATTAAAACTGGTACAGACATATGTTGCAGTTTAATCAGTTTTTGGTTACACAAATTTGACCCTGAGTGACAACGGGTGCCCTCCAAACACTGGCTAAAGATCTAAGTACATTGGGTAGAATAACAAAATCAGGAAGTGTCTTAAGGTTAAAATTTTGTCTTTCTTAAACTACACTACCAGCCAGAATCTGAGCACACCTTCCCACTGAAATGTTGGCAAAGGTGTGTCCAAGGCTTTGACTGGTAGTGTATAACACTTAATTCATTCTAATGCAATGCAGAACAGTACTAAAGGTTTTACGGGTCCCTGGGCACATTAAAAATACAGATGTAAAAATGACCACAAGGACTCAAATCAACTACAAGCAGATGCAAAACAACCACAAAGAATCACAAAATACTACAGAGACATTCAAAATAACCACAGAGACAAAATGACTCCATGACCTCCACTGAAAGGGACACAAAATAACTATAAACAACACAGTGGTGGCAGGTTTTTCCATGTGTGGAGTCGTTTTGTGTCTCTTTGTATTGCGTGTTTTCATTTTTCTTACTCTTTGTAGTTGTTTTGCATCTACAGTATTTGTAGTTGATTTGAGTCTTTGTAGTCATTTTGCATCTCTGGTCATTCTTTACCTTTTTGTCATCATTTGTGTGTCTTCTCAGTGTTTTTTCTGACTGTGTGTGGTTGTTATGTGTCTCTTTGCATTTATTTGTAGTAATTTCATGTGTCTTTATACAATTATTTGTGACTGTGTGGTTGTTTTGAGTCTTTTTGTTCATTTAACATCTTTTTGCCTACTTCTTGTCAGTTTGCATGTCTTTGTAGGAGTATTGTGCCTCTGTGGTTGTTTTGTGTCTTTTTAAAGTAATTTAATTGATTTTCAAGCATGAAGTGTTAATATTCACTTCAATAAAGGCTCTGACCCCGGGGCCACCTAAACCCTTGGGCCCCTAGGTGTCTGCCTGAAAGGTCCATTCAACAATCCATCCACGCCCATACCCAGGACATAATTTCCAATATCATTCTCTCAGTATGATGTGGGTTTAGTGTGTAAACAGCTGTATGATTGTGTGTTGTTTTTCTGAGATGGACACCATAAATATTCATCTTCTGTTTGTTTGTTTGTTTGTTTTACAACATGAAAACCCAGCTCATTTGTGCATGAGCTTTGTAGCCATGAAACATTAACATGTGTGTGTTGGAGGTGAACGATGGCGGTGGTGGTGCGGACAGCCGGGTGTGTCAAGGCCTGATATGAGGTCTATGTGACAGGAGTTAATGGTGGGAACGACTTGATAAGACGCAGTCTTTCGCTCCCTGCAGTGCCATGAAATGATGTTGTACAGCTTCCTTCCTCGCTATCTCTTGGTGGAGGAAACTGTAATAAACTGTAATGCCACAGTTTGAAATCTCACTCTTCCACATTCACCACAACCACATGCACATGTGGGAAGTCGCCCCCTGACTGTGCTGTCCTTCAAGTTCACACTGGGGCTGGTATTATGTTTTTTAAATTATCTGTTGTATAAATTATCATATAACACTGGTTGTCTATCAGAAGCACCAAACTTCCTATGGACTAAGTTTTTTGGGTTTTTCTAAGACATGAAAATGGGTAAATTTCAAGATACTTGGCTGTAAAAGTCCACAAGCACAACATTTAAGCAATCAGCAGCTTCCTTTTAAAAATATATTAGATGTCAAAAAAAGTTGCTTTTAAGTCCTCATTCACTCTTTGACACAGAAATATGGTTTGGAAAAGAAAAAAAAACATTTTATCAACTACTGGGTAACTCTGAAATGACACCACAGCTGTATCAGCTTATTTGCATTTAAGAACTTGTATGCAAATATGTCTAGCTGCTGTGTGGGGGGGAAGCGGCAGGGACATCCCAGGGGGAAAAGGAGCTCCTGTCTCTTCTAGAAATGAATACACCTTCAATTAAGGAACAATAAATTAAAAATTAACCTTAAATTTGGGTAGGAAGGCAGAAAAAGATTCTCAAAAGACGGGTAAATCCACAGCAGGCACCGGCTCGGCTCAAACTGCTGTGATTGGACGGTGTGTTGGCTGCTTGCACCATTTAGTCACTGACAACTTCATGACCTTCTGCCACAGTGTATTGTCCATCACTGCATCTGGTCAAACACAGATATATGTTAGTCACTGTGTTAGTCAGTTTTCTGTCCCTCTGTCGTCTCTTCTCTCTCAGCCTGTATATTCAGGAGCAGAGTCCTCTGTCTTCGGGCTCGTTCGTTGGCCTGTTCCGCACAGACTGCCTGCTTGTATGTGATTGAAGTCAGGCTCTGGCTCATCCTGGTCCTTGGGGGAGCTTTTGGAGTGGATTTTGCCAATCTCCTCTAGAGCACTGGCTAGAGAGTCAAGGTCAGCAGTGTCCTGGTGGCGAGCCTCCCACAGGCTCAGTATGACTGCTGATGGACTCCGCTGCTTCGCAAAATAACCCAGGTTTCTGTAGGGGAGCACATGGACTTGGATTAATGAACAATGTGGCTAGAGGTCACTTTCAGGGACAAAAAACAGGTTTAATTTGGTTTAATATTTTCTTCAGATATGGACTGTGACTTCCTGATTATGTATGTATTTATCTTATACAAGACATGACTCAAACTGAGTGTGCAATTGATTGTTTTAATTTCCTTTGAGAGAGTACTGAGCGTGAGGCTGAAGCACAAAAAACAAGGACAGTTGTTCTACAAGTGCAACTTGAACGATAAGGTTTGTGTAATTCTCTATTGTTGTTTTTGTCTTTAAGAATTCCTACGGTGTGTTACATTACTTTAGAAAGGATCAAGTTAAATGCAAATAATCTTTGCAATATAGATGCATAAAATGTAATTACGGTTTGAAGATCCCAAAGTTTGCTTTTTAGAAGTTCCTAGATGTTATGTAAAGGGTCCAAAGACTCCTCACATACTGGTTCCATTGTTCTGTGCACATTTGAAAACTATTTACTAAATTTATAT